AGCAAGACACAGAGAGAGAGAGGAGGTGCCAGGTCCTTTAAACAATCAGCTCTCACGGGAACTAATAGAGTGAGAACTCACTCACTACCCCCCTCCCCCAGGGAGAGCATTAATCCATTCATGAGGGATCCGCCCCTATGACTCAATCACTTTCCAACACTGCCACATTGGAGATCAAATTTCCACATGAGTTTTGGAGGGGACAACACATCCAAACTCCATCGGTAAGTAAGTAAATAAATAAAACTTCTTACTTGAATTTTTCTCAGCTAGTTAGTATACAGATTTATTTTTCAGTCCTGGGATTCACTGGAAACAGAATTGAAACTCTCAAAAGTACAGACAGTAAAAGCACGTCTGTCTTGCCCAGTAAAATTATTTGGTATTGAAGAACAATCTTAAATAGCAAAAAGATGCAGAAACATAAATTAGCCATCTCTCTGTATTCATAGGGGATTGGTTCCAGGACCTTCTGCGGATACCAAAATCTGCAGATGCTAAAGTATTTGGAGTAGGCAGTATTTACATATAACCCACATATATCGTCCCATATTCTTTAAATTATCTTTATTACTTATAATACCTAACACAATGTAAACACTATGTAAATAGTTGTTATACTGTATTGTTTAAAAAAAACTGTGTATGTTCAGTACAGACGCAATTTTTTTGGAATATTTTCAATGTATGGTTGGTTGAATCTACAGATGTGGTGAGCCAACTGTACTGTGTAAGTTTATCCACAAAGATCTGTAGTCTTTTTAATAAAAATATCTTTTCAAAATAATAAATAGTTCAGAGAAAAAGAACAATCTTCACAAATGTTTTCCTTAAATCACAAAAATCAAATTTAAGCCATAAGTCAAAAATATGGCTGCAATATTAAAAAATAAATAATATTAAATGTCCCATAACAGGCTAAACTGATGCTGCTGCACCTGGTATAAAAGAACACAGAATGATTACACCTCATCGATGTATTAAGACATCCTGGAAAGACACAAAGATCAAGATCTCAAGAAAATTAGAGAAATATTACAATGAGTACAATTTATAAATGAGTAGACAACCTATATATGAATCTATATGTGAACACAAGCAGATTGGACTTTCAAATAAAATTTTCAGTTGAGTGAAATTAAATGCTAACCTATGCTTAGTGTCAGATAATTTCTAAATCTTTTCACTAATAAAGAACAGCTGGCATATGTGGTCATAAAAATGCTTCACTTCCTTCTAAGTCATTCCAGTATGAACTTGTTCTTATCCAAAGATAAGTTACTTTCATTTCTGTATTGACCAACAAGAAAAAGCAAATTTTTTTTTTCCTTTTTGTCTTTTTTCGTGACCGGCAACGGGATCACAACCCTCAGTGTCACGCCCACACCGCACTCAACCAGTGAGCAGACCGGTCTCTATATGGGATCCGAACCCTCGGCGGGAGCGCCGCCGCACTCCCAAGCGCCGCACTCTACTGAGTGCGCCACCGGGCCGGCCCGAAAAAGCAAATTTTAAAGGGACTTAATAACAAGAGAATGGGGAAACAAACAAACAAAAAAACCTTAATTTTATTTATATAAACAAAAAATGCATTAATTAGAAACTCAAAATAAGCAACTCATTATACATTTATTGAGGCTTGCTTTAATTACATGTCCTAGAACATACCTACATACTCTGAGTTACTATATGTAGTATCAAGCTTTTAGTTTACTTGTACTTGGCCCATTAAGCCAACCCTAAAAAATGGTTACCATCCAAATATAAAATACCCTATATGTCATATTCAATACTGAAGTTGAAAATATGAAATATTCATGTTTCATTTCAATATTGAAATTTTTTATACTTAGTTCTGCTCCAAAGACCAGCAGGAAAAGTTTTATTCAGTAAAAAAAAATAATAGAGCCTCTCTTTCCAATATTAGCCATGTAGTAAACAAATTTCGGACAGGTCTTGCATATCTGTACCATCTACATATAATTGTCATCATTTTAATAGAGGATTTTACATTAAGTCTACATATAGTTCACATCGCATTAAACAGATTATGAAGGAAACTTAACTAAGGTCTAATTTTATCAGCATACGTTAATCTCCATATCTTTAGAACATTAACAGAAAACCTTTATGCTTTGCTTAAAATCTTTACAAGCATGTATTGTTTTTATGAAAATGGTAACCATTTGTTCTTTAAAATGATTTTAAAAATTGAAACTAGGGCCGGCCCGGTGGCTCACTCGGGAGAGTGCGGTGCTGATAACACCAAGGCTCCGGGTTCGGATCCCATATAGGGATGGCCGGTTCGCTCACTGGCTGAGCGTGGTGCTGACAACACCAAATCAAGGGTTAAGATCCCCTTACCGGTCATCTTTTAAAAAAAAAAAAAAAAAAAAATTGAAACTAAAAATGTCCTATTTTTCTTTCATCTTAGAAAGCAAAAATACACTAAATAAAATATCAATGTTACATTTTTAAAGTCAATGAACAGAGTATTTTTTTTTTTTTTAAAGATGACCGGTAAGGGGATCTTAACCCTTGACTTGGTGTTGTCAGCACCACGCTCAGCCAGTGAGCGAACCGGCCATCCCTATATGGGATCCGAACCCAGGGCCTTGGTGTTATCAGCACCGCACTCTCCCGAGTGAGCCACGGGCCGGCCCAATGAACAGAGTATTTAAAGATCGAAAATAAGATGTTTGGTTTATAATCATTTTTCACTTCCAAAAATGTGAGGGATTAACTGATTTCATATACCCATATCACAGCACTGTAACTAATTAAAAAAAAACTATTCAAATAATAATCTCATCTTGAAATAAAAGATCTGATATTCTCACCAAAGATAAGTAACAAAAGCATAAACATTTTCTTTAATTTCTTCTAATATTTTAACCTTGCTTTTTTAATTCCATTCCAAAATCTGGAGTAGAAAATTTAACACAAATCTCTTTGAACAAAAAGCCATTTTAGAGATGGAAATAAAGTCCACAAATTTGGATTTTAAATTTCTTTCAGAATGTATTTAAACATTTAAATAACATTACACCAAAAACTCCCACTAAAATACAACTTTTTTCTCATGGAAAAAATATTGAAGAAATTGAATTTGTAAGACATCTTTCTCACGGAAGTTTTTAGGAAACGCATTTGTGAAGTATTTTCTGGCTGCTAAGGCTTTTCAAAAAGCATCACAATTAAATTAAAAATCTCAAGACCTATGGAAAAAAAATTTTTAAAGAACAGTATGTCTTCCTGTGTCTGACATTTCAATTAACATGCCTTCCAGGCTCCATGTTGCTGTAAATGGCAAGATTTCATTCTTTCATTCCTGAGTAGTATTCCATTGTGTATATATACCATATTTTCTTTAGCCATTCATCTGTCGATGGACACCGAGGTTGATTCCATACCCTGGCTATTATGAGTAGTGCTGCAATTAACATGAGGGTGCAAATATCTCTTTGGTACAATAATTTCTTTTCCTTTGGATAATACCCAGCAGTGGGACTGCTGGATCATATAGTAGCTGTATTGTTAGTTTTTTGAAGAACTTCCCTACTGTTTTCCATAATGGTTGTACTAATTCACATTCCCACCAACAGTGAATAAGGGTTCCCTTTTCTCTGCATCCTCACCAGGGAAAAAGAGTTATCCCCTTTTCTGTTCTTCCAATGGAGACCTACTTCGAAACTTCTGGTTAACCAGTTAGAATATATTCTCTTGATGGATATAAATACAAAATGATGGAATAACATGTGATTGTTTATTAATTGTGGGTTTTTACAGTTTACATTTCCTTTAGAAGACCTGTAACTTATGAAGTTCTGGTTCCATCTACTTAATTCATCACTTGGAAAAATACATGTTTATTATTCTACTTTTGAAAAGCAGCTGCAGTTCCCAAAATAATTATTTCATATGTAAATATAATTCTAACAGTCTTAATCTTATAGTATTGCTTTCAATATGCATACACATCAAAATGCAACATTAGAGATAATTCACCTGTAAGAAATTCAGCCAAGGTTTTTACTTTATTAATGGCTGTCATTCAATCCCCACCTTTGGTGCTGTGCCACTCTTCTAATGATGTCTAACCATGTCCCAATATAATTATGTACTTACTTGCCTAATATTTTTTTAAAAAGTTAACTACCTTGATAAATGATGTATACCATCTCTCACATTTTACTGTTCTCCCCTACTTTTACTTTTTATTCATTTTTTGGGTAGCATTTTTCCTCCCCTTTCTCTTAAGGAGAAATTCCTTTAAATCACGGTACATGTCATCTATATCCAGTTCAATTAAAACCTTCCTCAAGTTATATCTCACCTCTGAAGCAATCTGATCCAGTGAATCAGATGGGCAGCAACTGATTCCAAACGCTGTGTTAAAAAACCTAAATATATCCTACCATAGTCCGGTGTCACATATTCCAACACAGATTAGTGTTTAAAAAAAAAAAAAAAAAAAACTAAGCAATCAGTACTTATTTGAAAGGATTAAAAGAAAGTTTTAATATCAGAATCTGGACCAAGGCTTTCAACCCCATTCTAATCAAATGGTTAAAATAAGTAAAAATAAACTGCAATATAATATTGAACCAACCTAGCAAGGCATAAAGACTATTAAGTGCAAAATGGTTTTCCAAGAGTGATTTTTCTCTCCTGGCAACCAATTTTTTATCACACTCCTATCATCATACAACTGAGACTGTTTCTACAAAGTCAACAGTAGAAAATCAGATTTCTTTAAAAAATCTACCTCCAGGCCTCCACACCCTCACCTCTCCATGCCCCTTGAGTACTCAATTTCTTTCCTGAAGTAGATCATCCATAAATATTACAATATTAAGAACTAAATTTTAATGAATACAAATCATAGGAAATGAAGGAATATTAACTCCCATTCAAGTCTTCCTTTAAAAAAAGTCTGTTTCCAAGTTATATTTTTAACTTCCCCCATGATTCCCTTTAAAAATGATGAACACAAAATCTCACTGCTAATGACTTTATTCATGAATCTGTAATGGAACTCAAAATAGCAAAGAACATGAAAATTTTTCAGATTAATATTTATCAACAAAATACATCAAAGAATACATCTATTTTTCATAAAGCTAACAAAAATGCCTTAAACACACATGAGAATTAAAATATTCTCCACTCTGTGGAACTTCAAGGTAATGAAGAACTGCTTAATACAGTTTGCCAGGAAAGCTCACTACACTATCAAACACATATAATTCAAAAGAAATAAAATGTAACTGATAAAGTAACCATCTCATGGCTAACTGTTTGGTAAAGTGCTACTTTCACACTGAAAAAAGAAATTATTTAAAATTAAAAAATTTTAAATGCTAAATCATCATTCTGAAAGTGTTAAATTTTTCTTCAGTATTCAGTATGTTCATCACATTCATATGTCCCCAATATGAGCCTATAGACACTATCTTAAAATTTTGAAAAATATTTTTATTCACAATTTCCTGGAAGTTAAAAATTATTACACTATTGCTAAATGAAGTTTTTCATGATACAGGAGTGTAACAGACACAACATACAATTTTTGTCTTAAACATGATCTTTGGTTTGAAGCTGTCCTATTAACTTTTTGTCAGATGGTTGTGGTTACTCAAATATTCCTAGTTTCATTTGAACCATAAAAGAAAATTGGGTCAATAGCCTAAAGGCAATGAATGGCACATACCAAGAATCTGGCAGGATGAGTTCCCTGAAATCCATAACTGACACATTAAGTGTAAAAGGAAATCAGTGTTGCTGAGGAGTGACTCACCTCCTTTCACCAATGACTTTTATCAACTCTTTATCTAATCTGAATGAAGGCACACAGGTAAAACTCTTAAGCAGATAAGACCAACTGAACTGCATATGCATGCAGGGCTGTGTCCACCCCAAGCACATACACACATCTCATGTTTAAGGTTGAATGCTATCTATCACTGCATGGATTCCACCACTCTGTGCCTAAGGGTATACATATCTTAGAGATCAGAACTAGCTGATGGTTATCCAAAATTAATGAGACTCTGAATGATACAAAAGTTGGCCTATCCTCCAAATAAAAGGTTTTAAATTAACAGCGAAGGAATGCAATAGCATTGGAAACTGTAAGAAGTCATAAAGTTGAATCTCAGGAAGAACAAGTACGATTTCATAATTGAAGGCTGCTAATGACGTCTCTCTCCCCTTGAATAATCAGATGCAAATGCCTTTTAGCAATGGCAGCATTCAAATCCCACAAAAAATCAAGTAGTGCCCCCTTAAGGAGCACCTCCATTGGCACAAATTGTAAAACCTGCCGGGGTGCATCAGAGTTAAGCAAAGTACTCAACAATTCATTCACATTCTGCAGATACTGGAAAACTGGATTTGGAATGTCCTGATAACCAACACAAAGCAGGACTGCACATGTCCTAAGGGGCTTGGAGGACATGGGACAAGAAAACGTGATGAATCTAAAACAACTGTGGAGTACAAAGATCAAACCAGCCATAAATCTTGTGAAACAAGAAAGTACAGGCAAGATCATAACATCTCCTGTATGAAGCTGTTGCAATGAATGTAGAAGGCAGTCCAAAAATAACTGCTGGTAAGTTGGGTCTCCATCATGAAGCAATGAACAGCTGAAAGCTGTGAGTTCAGCTGATTCCAGGAGTTGAACTTCTAATGGTATATGCATTTTGATATCACGCAGAGTTGGCAAACCCACAAGCAGGCACTTTATTTGATTGCTGGGTTCTACAACCTGCTCATCCCGAAGGCACTTGGTAAGGCTAAACAACTCAGAAAATATCAATTCTTCAGAAAAAATGTGACAAGAACAATCATATTGCTGTTTTGGCCTAAACTTGGAATCCAAAATCAAACCTCCTCCTAATGATTTTTCAATTGCTTCATTAAGAGTCTCTAAAATTTCACCATTGCAGAAAGGAGAACACTTTACCTTTGGCAGTTTCTTTCCCTCTAAAATATGCCCTAAGCAACACTCGAGATTGGAGGCTGTCCCTTCTAAAAGAGAACTTTGCCCAGGATGATATACAAAATGTTCTTCAGCCCAACTATTAAAGTATCCTTTGGCTACTTTGTCCTTCCATGAAAGGGTTTCCAGCATCTTCCTTTCATTATAGGTTTTAAAATATTTGTTCCTCTGTCCAAACCACTTTGTATTTGTACTACAACCAATATTAGACTTTTTTACTAGCCAATTATTTCTGGAAAGAGGCTTCAGTTGAAATTTCTGCATGAAATATTGCACAGCACAATCCCTTAAATTATTCAGCTTTGCTTGTTCCTCTTTTCCTATGCACTCAAACAGACGAATGTTCCCAGAAATAGTCTCTAGCTGATATCTATGAAAGAACGCACAACATTCTTCATGTCTTTTAAGAAAAGATTCGGGAATCACATGATGAGGAAAGAGAGCTTTCTTGGTTACTTCAGGCCCAAAATTCAGCACCATCTTAGATAACAGAGGATGGATAGCCTCTCTTCCCTTATAGCGGAGACATACCACATAGACTTCTGAGTTTCCTGCCTTGCTAGTAGCAGGTTTGAAAACATGGACTTGGTCAAAGGAACAGTTTAGCAAGTACATCAAGTTTATAGAACAATGTTCAAACAAAGTAAACATCTTCAGAACAAAAGAGCCACCATTTCCAAGAGTGGTCAGAGCAGTGACAACTTCACAGTAATGCAAAGAGGAGACTAAAGCTTCTTGTTCACCTGGGTTTCCTTGGCAATCAAAACTTCCATCTGCAGTGATCAAGTGAACAGTTGCCATGCTGCTTATGAAATTCCGAAGTCCAATCAGATATTTCAGGGTCATGATATCACCAGTGTTATCTGGACCAAAGTACCACCAATGCAAGGTATTTGCAATAAGCCGGTCATCCATAATCATCATAAGACTGTCATTTGCTTCATGGTATGGATTCAGAGTATTAGCTACCCAACTCCAATCAAAAGGGAACTGATGGGATTTTAAGTAGTGGTTGAGACTAGCTATAAAAGCTCCAGGAGCTTCACAAAGGTGTAGAGAATTCAGTTTTCCACTCCGAAAAGCTTCCTGTGGAATAAGGGGAAAGCTACACAAAATCTCATGGAACTTACACCATGCTTGAGTACAAAGTTCAGCATTCACAGATTTTTTCACATGAGAAATTATTTTTCCTGCTTTATTAGTGAAAGCGGTGTGCTCATGCCACTCATCCAGTTTCTTATCACTCAGTAGGTTTTTTACTTCATTTAGGGAATTCTTCAAATCAAGAAATGTATTAAATTCTGTGTGGTCACAAGTGAAAATCTCACTGGGATCTGGTAACTGCCACTCATTATTAAGTGGCTTGCCATAAGAAAAATTCTTGGCAAAGAGTTCAGAAATATCAGCAAGAACATCTGGGCTGAATGTCTCAGGACTTGCTATCTGCTGAACTGGTGGCTTTCTGCACTTACTCATTTTCGAATCAAATTAGAATCTAGGGAGAGAAAACACATAATCAAATGAATCAAATTTATTAGTGAGTAAAATCTCATCAGCAGCAAATCTGATCGCTCTAGTGACAGACCCCATAAAGTGGGAAGACTAATGTCAGCACACTGTTACATAATGAGGCAATCTGGAATAAAGAAAGAGTACAGGCTTTGATATTCAAAAGACCTGGGTTCAAATACCAGGTCTGCTACTTACAGCTTAATAAGTGGACTTGGGCAAATTGCTTTACACCTCTGGGATTTTCTTTTGTTGTTGTTGTTGGCAGCTGGCCCGTATGGGGACCTGAACTAGTGACCTTAGTGTTATAAGGCTGTGCTCTAACCAACTGAATAACCGGCCAGGCCAGTGGAATTTTCTTATTTAAAAAATTGACATATGCTTTTTTAAAGAAGAGAATAAAAGACACCAGGATATAAGAAGCATATACCAAGAATATTCATCAGTGAATGGCAGCTCTTATTACCACAGTAACCAAAGACCTCCTCTATCTATGACTGTGACACCACCCACACGGCCTCACACATATACTTAAGAGATTCATTCCTGGACATGACCTTTGATCAAGCTCTAATAAGTGACTTTTAGGTTTTTTTAGTTTCTCACCTCTTTCCCAGAAGAGGATCTTATACCTGAACCCAGTATTGGTCCTGCCACCAGCCACTTACCCACCTACTAGGATTGCTGAATACATCCTCTGTCCAGATTTCACTAAGACATGCACTTTGGTGGTACCAATCACCCAATAGAGGCCACCAACTAACACTGATCATACTGCCTGTAAACTATGCAGTACTCAAAAGATTAGTGTCCTTCTGCTTAATGCTGAAACTGACCAATAGTTCACCCTGGCATGTCTCCAACTACAGATTCTTGCCTCTCATGTGGCCAGTAGGATAGCGCCACACTAACACTATAAAATATCATTATTTCTACTTGCCACTGAAACTTCTTAACACCCTTTGATAGCACAATTTTACACCGAAGAAATATACTTGTCGAATATACAAATTACACACTGTCACTCTACAGTCAGTGTTCTAACTCTACTTAAGAAACCAAAAACATCTGTCTCCTGGAGAGGAAAAAGGATATAAGAGAAAGAAGCATCGCTTAAAGGCATAGTTTTGGAAAAGTTCTAAATTCCAGCAGATAGAGCAATGAGAATTACATAGGACCTGTTAGTACAATGTTAATCAATACATGCATTAGTTCATGAATTGTGCACTTACTTAGCATACACAATGGATTCTACAACCAGTTTTCTAAAAATAAAAAAATCTGTATTTGTTAAATGTGAAAAAATTGATAACTAAATCACCATCCCACCAAAAGCAGATGTTTGGGGATAAAATGGGAAATAAAGGTGAGCTACTGCCAGAATAAATACAATGATATCTATTTTTTTTTTTTTTTAAAGATGACCTGTAAGGGGATCTTAACCCTTGACTTGGTGTTGTCAGCACCACGCTCAGCCAGTGAGCAACCGGCCATCCCTATATGGGATCCGAACCCGGGGCCTTGGTGTTATCAGCACCGCACTCTCCCGAGTGAGCCATGGGCCGGCCCAATACAATGATATCTAGATGACTTCATTCTATTAGCATTTACTTTGAATTGTTCTTTAAAAAAACAAACTTTTTTCATCTTTTTAAGTTTTATGTTTAAATTATTCACAAATCTACCAGTTTGCAAGCTCATTGAAATGACAGGTATCCTCTTAGTCATTTCTGTTTGCCACAGTGTATTTACAAATTACACGTAAACAGAAGTTATTAACAAGTTAATAATCACGATTATCCATCATCTTTTTCTTACCATAGATTTTTTTTTTATTGGTAGAAGCTATATTTAGACACATTTCTGAAGGAAAGCAAAAAGGAGCCATTTCCATATTTAATAAAATCCTAGATAAGGGCAAATAAAAGTCTATTGCGACAAGCTCCTCTCTCTTAATTCACACTGTGCTTACTGGAAACTACAACTATGTTTAGATCTCAACTATATTCTATTTTGGAAAAAGTCTTAGTAAACTCACATACTAATTAGTGGTTCTAGTTAAGCTGTGAAATCTTATCGAAGCTAATACGTAATTACCTTCACATGAGGACAACTAAAGTGATTCAAACACTCCACTGTTTTTTCAAACTATACTTTAGCTGTGGCGCCACTTAATTTTATTACTACTCCCCTTACTCATTCTGCTCCAGCCACACAGGCCTTCCTGCTGTTCACTGAAGATACCAGGCACAGTCCAAGCTAAAAGTATTTGCACTGGTGGGTCCCTCTGCCTAAAATGCTCTTCCTCCAGATGTCAGCACAGCTAATTTCCTCGCCTCCTTCCAATATTTGCTCAAATGCAATTCTCTCAGTGAAGCCTACTCTGACATGCTTATTTAAAACTGCATCTTGCATTCCCAATGTCCCTTATCCTGCTGTATCTGTTTCTTTCTCCATGGCACTCATACCGTTCTAACCTATAATTTACTCATTTGTATTTACTGTTTATTGTCTATCTTCCCCAAACTAGAACATAAGCTCCAAAGGGCAAGAATCTTTGTTTTGTTTACTCATATATCATCCCAAGAGGTTAGAATAGTGCTTAGGACACAATTAGCACTCAATATTTACTGAATAAATGAAAGGATATCACACTTAGCACAAAAGGTGCTTCTCTGATCATGAATTTGAGTCACAATAATGTCTTTCAACTTAACTGTAGCACTTCAGTGCATGACTTTAAAAAACAGCATGTGGTTTAGTGTATGGAAAAATGTTCCCATACGTGATCCTCTGTCCTTTTCATTAAGCACTCCATAGAGCTTTGTGGCATCATAATTCTGCTAGGTGGGTCAGTATTACCATTCTTATATTGCAGACTCCAGTAAGCCACGAAGGTAATACCTGTAAAATTCATGAGCTGACACGAAACCCACAAGTTCTCACCAACAGTTGCTACCTCTCCAATTAGCACGTACAAAGGAGTTTTAGAAGTGTTTTCGCCAACTCCTCCTCCCAGCAACTGTGAAAATAACAGCTCGTGTGTATCCAGCGCTTACTTTCAGCCAAGGACCCCCAGATTTTATTTCATCTAGTGGAGGCAAGTTCCAAGCCCCATTTGAGCGGCCTGGCCCATGACCTGGAGGAAACTCAGTCCCAGCCCGTCTCACCCGCTGCAAAGTCAGAGGAGGACCCGGGCTCGTAACCGGGCCTGGATTACCTTCGCTCACGCCCACCTGCGCCCCTGCGGTCTAGAGAGGCTGCGCTTCACTCGCTCTCCTTACTGGACGGGGGCCATTCTCCACTTCCGCTCCCGGGGTGGTTACCGCTTTTGTCCGCGGCGCCCCCAGCCACAGAGGAGGTGGCGCACTGGAAAGCCCGGAAGGCGGCCTGGACCCGCCCCCGCGGCACCGGGAGCCTAAGTCCACCACCAGGCCGCGCCCCCGCCAAACGCCGAACGACGGCGGCCCGAGGGCCCTGCCAGCCAAACTGCGCACGCGCCCTCTAGGCTGGGCTGGCGTCACGTGCGCCAACGTTGCGCACGCCGCAGACGCTCCCCGCGCTAGGCCTCCACTTGCGAGATTTTGCTTCTCTGCTCTATGCTGGAGAAAGGAAGAGCCTGTCTCCGCCCCCGGCCGCTATGGCAACGGAAGCTGCGCGCGCAGACAGGGCATCCTTTGGCCCCGCCCCTGAAGGGAGCAGGAGAGGAGGAGGGGGAGGAGGGGGAGGAGGGGG